GGAGGCAGAGGCAGCAGCGCAGGCGCATTGTCGTTCTCGTCCAGCACGAACACCTGCAGCGTCACGTTGCTGCCCAGAGGAGGCACGCCCGCGTCGCGCGCGCTCACCTGGAACTGCAGCAGCTCCAGCTCCTCGTGGTCCAGAGGCTGCAGCGCGTACACCTGGCCGCTCTCCGCGTGCACCGACACGTAGCTCGACAGCGCGCGCTCGCCCACCCGCCGCTCCACCAGCGAGTAGGACACCAGCGCGTTCTCCTGCGCGTCCAAGTCCCGCGCCGACACCGTGAAGATGTGGCAGCCGGGCGGGTTGTTCTCCTTCACGAACACCGTGTACTCGGGCTGCGCGAACAGCGGCGCGTTGTCGTTCACGTCGGCCACCTCCACGGACACGCTGGCGGTGGCCGACAGCGAAGGCGAGCCCCCATCCCGAGCTGTCACCACCAACTCGTAGTGTGACAGCTTCTCGCGGTCCAGGGCGCTGTCCAGCACCAGCGAATAGTAATTCTTGAAGGTGGACACCAGCTTGAAGGGGACATGCGGTGTCAGGGTGCAGGTCACCTGCCCGTTGACACTGGAGTCCCGGTCGGACACGGATATGAAGGCAATGACGGTGCCGAGGGGGGCGTCCTCCCTGACCGGTAAGGACAAGGACCTGACCGCCAGTTCCGGAGCATTATCATTGACATCCAGCACTTTCACTAAAACCTTGCAGTGATTTGACATGGGAGGACTTCCTTTATCAACTGCTTTTACCTGAATTTCGTAGGATTTTGTCTCTTCATAATCCAGTTTACCAATTAGCCTAATCTCTCCTGAGCTGGAATCAATTTTGAAGTTCTTTCTAATGTTCACAGGAACATCACTGCCGAAGAAAAAGACAACTTCTCCATTTACACCTTCGTCAGCGTCAGAGGCATTTAATGTGGTTACTAATGTCCCATTTGCTATAGTTTCCAATAAATGGACTCTGTACACGGCCTGAGAAAACAATGGGGCGTTGTCATTAACGTCGAGCACCGTTATCAGCAGGTGAACTGTACCTTCCAGCTCAGGTTTGCCCCCATCCGTGGCTGTCAATAATAAATGAAATTCTGGTGTTTCTTCTCTGTCCAAAACTTTCCTTAATTCAAGCGCAAGTGACTTACTCAGTTCATCACTTGCCTGTATATCCAACGAGAAATAATCACTGGGGCTGAGCATATACGTTAGAAGAGAATTGGTGCCAATGTCGGCATCAGCAGCGCCCTCTAGCGGGAAATGCGATCCCAGCAGTCTAGATTCAGGAATAAATAACCTTTGTTCTCTCTCTCTGAAGACTGGTGGATTATCGTTAATGTCCTTCACCTCCACCTCCACGTGGAAAACCTGCAGCGGCCTCTCCACCACCACCTCCAGGTGGATGCTGCACTCCGCCCTCCGCCCGCACAGCTCCTCGCGGTCGATCCGAGAATTCACAAACAAAATGCCATTCTGCAGATTTACCTCCAGAAGGTCCCCGTGGTCTTTGGACGCCACCCGGAACAGGCGCGGCACCAGCTCCGCCAGCTCCAGCCCCAGGTCCTGCGCGATGCGGCCCACGAAGGTGCCGTGCTTGGCCTCCTCGGGGACGGAGTAGTGGACTTGGCTGCTCCCCGCCTTCCAGATTGCAAGAAGCAGAAGAGAGAGCAGCAGGCGCCGGGCTCCCTTGCCTCCTCGCCTGGGATACAGCATCGCAGAAGAACTACACTTTTCGTACCTCTCTCGCCTTACTTCAAAATCATGTCTTTACTTCATATTTTTAGTACTTCCTCTCAGCGTTTCTGTCTTCTCTAGGGCGGTGACAAAATGGAGCTTCCTCCTTTAGTGTTGGCGATCATACAGTCCCACTGACAAGATTTTGTGGTATACAGCGACATCATGTGGCTGACTGTAGATTTTTAGATCCATTCATTGATTTCCAAAATAGCCTCATATTCATTTGCAATTTACGCAAGGCAATCATTTTCAATTTTATATCCTTTTAAAGGCCCAGACATTTCAGGTGTCACTTGAGAGTATGTAATTCAATATTTTCCTTTAGCTGTTTTCACAAAAAATATTACAATTGCATTTGGGAAAATCACGATATACATAAATAAGTACATCTTTTTATTTAAAATAATCTATCAGCTCATATCTTTTTATTATTAAATATTTATAACTGCACACTTTAGTTTTAAAATAAAGCACTTAGACCACTGAGGTTCACCTTATCCTAGGCTAGTTTGGGTGTTTATATTTTAAATGATATAACATTACCAAGTACTTACATATGAAATATTTTGAAATTTTGATGAAATATATTTAAGATTCCTTCAATGTTGTATAAAAACCATTTCTGACCCGGCCAACGTGACTCAGTAGTTGAGCATCGACCTATGAACCAGCAGGTCACGGTTCATGCTCAGGTTTCGGATTCAAACCCCAGTGTGGGGCGTAAAGGAAGCAGCCAATCAATGATTCTCTCTCATCATTGATGTTGCTATTTCTCTCTCCTTCTCCCTTCCTCTCTGGAATCAATAAAAATATATTTTAAAACCATTCCTGATACTTTAAATCTTACAATAATGATATTTGGAACATTTCTATTTGTTGCTTGTTACATAACATCAATTTAGAATAATGACTTTTAACCTCCAAATGTCATTATTCCAAATTGAATTAGTATCCATTGGATCTTCCTTCCTACAATAAATTTTAAGGAAATTATATTTTTCTTTTTTCATATTAAGGCAAACATTGTCATATTTCAGTTAAAATAATATGAATATTGAATCAATATCAAGTACACATATCTGAAATTTTGATAATAATTCATCATCAACATTTAAATGTAAATCTAATGTAATTAGGTTTTCAGGAGAAACTATTTGAGAAAAACATATTAATAAACTTTTTCAACTTCAGTCCAATTCATAATAATAACCTCATAGCTAAATCAAAATTTAAGTATGTTGTCATAAACGACCACTAGTTAATTTTTAAAAGAATGTCCTTAATATTTCTATTTTAAGTATTATGGATTTTTAAGAATATTAATATGAATAAGAATTAGTCTATTGCCTTTCTAATCAGAAAGCCCAAGTCATTGTTTAAATTGATAATTAAAATATAGATGAAACATGTTATTTTATTTTTCAAAAACAAGCATATAATTTCAATAGTTCAGTGTAATAATTACTTCATTATAAAAGATACAGCAATATAAGATACATCAATATCCTCTAATCTCAAAATGAAGCAAATTCTGAATTTATGACTTTTCTAAATATTAGATTTAAACAATACTATCAATACTTGAATTAAGAAAATGTAGAATTGCCCTGACTGGTTTGGCTCAGTGGATAGAGCGTCAGCCTGCGGACTCAAGGGTCCCAGGTTCGATTCCGGTCAAGGGCATGTACCTTGGTTGCGGGCACATCCCCAGTAGGGGGTGTGCAGGAGGCAGCTGATCGATGTTTCTAACTCTCTATCCTTCTCCCTTCCTCTCTGTAAAAAATCAATAAAATATATTTTTTTAAAAAGAAAAAGAAAATGTAGAATAAATGCTAATCACAATTCATTGACATTCAAATATTTTAAACATAAAACTGTTGAATTAAATATACTTTATTTTCCACACATAAAAGCTTATTTTACCTTTTATTATTTTTTAATATATTTGTTATTGATTTCAGAGAAGGAGCAGGAGAAAAAGATAGAAACTTCAATGATGAGAGAGAATCATTGATCGGCTGCCTCCTGTACACCCCACATTGGGGATCAAGCCCGAAAACCAGTCATGTGCCCTCACCAGGAATCGAACCATGACCTCCTGTTCTTAGGTCCAGGCACAACCACTGAGCCATGCCAGCCAGGCTATTTTACCTTTTAAAACATACCTACTATAACTGAAAATTATATGATCATGTGTTAATATTGAGGACTACAATGATCTTTAAATATAATTTCAACCACAAACCATATTATACTGTTTCATCCTTTGTCTTTCTTTTGATGAAAAATGCTCAATTTGAAGATATTCTCAATATCAGAGAAATGTAATTTACAATAACCAGATGACAATTAATTGAAACAAAACAATACTTGACCATGGACTTCATTGTCATGGTAATGATCATGAAAACAAAGGACTACAGAATACTATCCTCAAGGAAAAAACAAAGGAGAGTATAAATGCCTTGAAAAAAGTATTATCAGATATAGCTGTTTTTAAAAAGCAGTGTTTGTATGTTATTGAAGTTAAGCTGGTATAAACCCAAATTAAAGTGCTACAACTTCAAGATATTAAATGCAATCTCTGTGATAACCGTGAAGAAAACAGGTATAGAATCTGAATAGATCTATAACCATTAAGGAAATTGAATCAGCAATTTAAAAAATCTGACAAAGAGAAGTCCTTGACCCACTGGCATCACTGATGAATTCTACCAAACATTTAAAGAAAAAATAATGTCAACCTTTTGTCAAACTTTTTCAAAAATTGTAAAGGAGGGAACACTTTCTAACTCCTTCTATGAGGCCAGCATTACACTCATACCAAAGCCAGACAAAGACACTACAAGAAAATAAAGCTGCAGATAAGTATTCCTTATAAAAATTGATGCTAAAATCCTCAAAAAATATTTAAAAACAGGATTCAACATTCCAATATTTAAAATCAAGTGGGATTTATTCCTGAAATACAAGGATGTCTCAACATCAATCAATGTAAGATACCACATTAACAGAATAAACAAAAATCCACATGATCATATTAATGAATGCATAAAATGCATTTCAAAAAATTCAATACCCTTTCATGAAAAAAGCACTAAAAATCCTAGGAATAGAAGGAAACTACCTCAACATAATAAAATGCAATACATGAAAAACCCAGAGTGAACACATCATCCTCGATAGTGAAAGACTGAAAGCTTTTCCTCTGTAAAAAAAAAAAAAGGAAAGAAAGCCTGCTTTTACCTCTTCAGTTCAACAAAGTAATGGAAGTTCTAGCCAGAGCAATAAGGCAAGAAAAATAAATAAAAGGCATCCAAATTTGTTAGAAAGAAGTAAAATTATCACCCTGCCCAGTGTAGCTCACTGGTTGGAGCGTTGGCCCATGCACCAAAGTGTTGAGGGTTTGATCCCAGTCAAGGGCATGTACCTGGGATGAAGGTTTAATCCCTGCCTAGGTGGGGGCAAGTTCTAGAGGTAACTAATATCTCTCTCTCTCTCTCTTTCTCTTCCTCCTTCCTTCCTCCCTCCCTTCCACTCTGCCTAAAATCAATGGAGCTCTAGCCAGATTGGCTCAGTGGATAGAGCGTCCGCCTGCAGACTGAACAGTCCTGGGTTCAATCGGGTCAAGGGCATGTACCTAGGTTGCAGGCTCCTCCCCACTGGGGCCCTGGTTGGGGCACATGCAGGAGGCAACCAATCGATGTGTTTCTCTAACATCAATATTTTTCTCTGTCTTTCCCTCTCTCATCCACTTCTCTAAAAAAAAAAAAATCAATGGAAAAATATCCTTGAGTGAGGAAGAAAGAAAGAAAGAAAGAAAGAAAGAAAGAAAGAAAGAAAGAAAGAAAGAAAGAGAGAGAGAAATCTCTGTTCACAGATTATATGATGTTTTATGTAGAAAACCTTAAAGATTACATGGAAAAACTTAAAATTAATAAATCAATTCAACTAAGTATCAGGAAAACAAAATCAACACACACAAAATCAGTTACATTACCATACACTAAAAACAAACAACAAGAAATTAAGAAAGCAATTCCATTTAGAATATCATAAAAATACTTAGAAATTAACTGAGGTTAAAGATCTGTATGATGAAAGATACAAAGACATTTCTGAAACAAAGAACACACAAACAAATGAAAGGCATCTCATGTTCATAGATTAGAAGAATGATTATTGTTATGATATCAGTAATAACCAAATTGATCTACACACTTAATGTAATCCTTATCAAAATTCCAATGATATGTAACTTTCAACAATAAATAATTTAAATTTTTTAAAATCCCAATGATATTTTTTGCAGAAGTAGAAAAACCCATCCTAAAATCCAAATGGAATGTCAAGGGACCCCAAGTAGCCAAAACAACCCTGAAAAAGAACAAAGCTGAAGGACTCACACTTCATAATTTCAAACCTTACTACAAGGCTACAGTAATCAAAACAGTGTAGTACTGGCATAAAGACAAACATATAGACTAATGGAATTAAATAGAGGTCCAGAAATAAACTTTCACATATAGTCAAATAATTTTAAGCAACGGTGCCAAGAACACTTAATACAAAGGAAGACAATTTTTTAACAAATGATGCTGGAAAAATAGAATATCCACCTGCAAAAGAATGACATCCTACCCTTACCTAATGCCACATATAAAAATTAACTCAAAATGGATTCATCGCCTAAATATAAGACCTAAAATGATAAAATTCTCAGAAGAAAACATATGGTAAAAGCTTCATGATGTTGGATTTGGCAATGATTTTTTGGATATGATGCCGAAGGCACAGGCAACAAATGAAAAAAATTAGGCAAATTAGACCATAAAAATGAAACATTCTTTCCATTTAAAGAAAATATCAAGACCTTCCAGTATCCAGTTCCAAATGTAAGGAGCTTGGAAATAACCACTCCATCCTAACAAGTATAAAGCTGAACAGACGTAAGAATCAACAACTCTTCTTGGATGTGTAAGAGAGAGGAGGACACGGAGCAAAGCACAACCCCCAGTGTTAGGGACATAAATAGGGGAATAAAGAAGGTCACAGATTACTGCTGCAGAGATTCAAGAGCAGAAACCAATGTGGAACCAGTGCCAGAGTAGTAAAATGTGAACTGTAATTTACAAATTGCTGAAGACTAAGTGTGA